ACCTTTTTGGGGCTGCAGACTGGCAAATTTCCAGGAAATTTTTTGCAGACTGGCAAATTCCCCAAAAGTTTATTTTTTGAAAGACTTCATGGCAGGTACAGTGAGACCCCAAGACGCGGATGTAAGTGGTGCACCACAAGTGTCCTGATGTTGGAATTTCCCTAAGTTGAGTCTCATTTTCCCTTAGACTTCAATGCTAATGTATTTAATTGGTTATTCTTTTGTCAAAAATTAGAAATATAAATCCTCAAAAAATGTAATAGAAATTGTTTACCACAACTTCAAGTCGTAGAAAACAACAGTGCAGAACAAACCACAGAGAATCTGTTCTTTTGGTATCAAAAGGAGATCAGAAAGCATAGAAAAGAAATAATTCTTGCAAGAATATGCACAGATGATAGAAAATAACTCTGAAAAAAGAAGCACATAAATAGCTTGCTCTTGTTTATGAATTGAAGTGAAATTATCATGGAAATGTTTTTCCGATTTTTGTGAGTATAAATAATGTAGCTTGATTTCTTCAAAAGATGTCAAAATTAAAAATAAATGTTTACATTTTTTGGGGAATTTTCAGAAAATTGCACCTAACTTGAGCTAATGTTTAGATGTTGGGCCTGATTTTTTGGTTTTCAAGTGTCCCCTGAGTCAAATTGATCATATGTTTGAGTGTCGGCATATCAGGGTCTCACTGTACTTGAAAAAATTTCTGTTTTTTCTTATAAAATTAAGTTAAGAACCAACAAAGCAGCTCTAGCGGGATGTCTTTAAAATTTTTAAAAATTGGGCTGAAGAAAGGTTTCTCAGAACAAAAAATTTTAATGATTTATTTCAGCATGTGAAAATTTTTCTTGAATGGAAAATATTTGGAGAAAAGCTAAATTTCATTTTTCATCAGATAATTTCAACTGCCATTGTCTTCTCGAAATTCCAGATAAAGATAACAGACGTCAACGCTACTTTCGATAAATTTATTATGCCAAAAAAATTCCCGAGAACCAGCAAAAAACTTCTGAGGACCAGCCCCGGTCTGCAAACTACAGGTTGAGGTACACTGTTATGGAGTAAAATCTTGTAATAACGATATGAATCATTCCTCAAAAACTTTTTTTTCAAGCCCCTGAAAAATCAATAGCCAAAATACTGTTTTCTTTGAAGCAGTCACCCTGCAGTGGAATTGCATTACGACGAATCTCATTATAATGATTTAGTGGTTATAACGAATTTTTAATGAAAGTCCTCGCCCAATAACAATGATATCATTCAAATTGCGTCATAACGAATTTTTTGTTATAACAATGAGTATATTTATCTGTCCCAACGGCTTTCTTCTAACAAGAAATTTATTAAAAGTCAAATTGAATTATATTGTTGATCTTGCTGGGCAGGGATCTGAAAAATTTGTTATCAATAATTCATTGCAACGAGATTCGTTGTGGTGTGATTTTAATACAGGGTGCTTGCTTGAAGGTAAGTACAGTATAGTATTTGAGTATTGTGCAGGGACTGTGGAAACAATTTTTGCAAGGAATATAATTCATATCATCACAACAAGATTTGTTGTAAGAAGATTTTACTGCGAGGCTTCATCAGTGTACATATACAGTTACGTTGTTGTATAGGTCACGCCTATATTTTGTATGGAGTAAAGTAAAAAAAATAAAACGATAGCCATTAAATTTAAGGCGAGCTTCATTTGCATTCAATTTCTTTTGAGACCAACAGAAGTGCATTGATATGTTCGTGCCGCTTCAGTTACCAGGCTTAAATACAGTACAGTACTGTAACTACCTTGAACAGTACTTACAATAGTAATAGTCCACATGGTTCATTAGCTTTTGCAGTTGGAGACACATTATACGTATTTTTTGGATTCAGTTTTGACGAGATTTTCATTCCGAAATTGGCCAAGTGATAAAAAAAGGAATCTTGCACATTAACCCCAAATATACGAGGCCATCAAATGTAAGACGCATTTTGCCCCGATTCTTCCAGCCGATTTTTGCAGTGTCTCACATTCGAGTAGAATTGAAGTTCTGCTTAAGTGACACCGTTTTATGCAAGTTAACCTCGATCATCGCAGCTAATGCCCAGATTATTTTCTCAAAATTATAAAAATCAGCCCCGATAATTGATCGTTAAGGATAATAATGACTGAGGGATGAAATAAATTCCGCAACGAACCTATACGTCATGTTTTCCAACATTCCCCACGGACCTTAAAGAGGCGAAACGCGTATTTTATAATATCAAAATGTTTTTACGAAATCCGCTCGAAAATTCTGATTTGCAGTCATTCATATCGCATACGGTCATTTTTTACATTTCTGACGTACTTTGAGCACTGATGCTCAGCATTTTTGTTTTTTTGTTTTCTTTTAAACTTTAATTTTAAAATGCTTGAATCCAAGAGTTAAAAAGGGCGCCGCTATCAATTCAACTCAATAAACATAGTCGCAGCATTCTTTAACCTTGACTCAAAATTTCAAAAAAATCGATCAAATCCCAGATAATTGAAGTTTTACATTAATTTCAGATCATAATATCCATTGATTTCCTCTGCTACAAGGCGTTTTTGGACAAATTAGCAAAACATTCGCATGGAAAATGCAGAGATTACCGTGATTCCAGATTGGATCATCACCAAGCGAAGAATATTACATCCAAATTAAAGAGAGTTACACTTTATCATAGAAACTTAGGAAGATACTCAAACAAATTCATCGTTTTCTTATTCTATAACTATCAATTAATGGACACGTAATCTATTTTGGAATCAGAAGCTCAAATTTCGAAGGTCATCGTTCCTGCAGATTGCTATAAAAATTACGTACGAGGGCAGTTTTGACGGAAACATCGGTAGTTAAAAATTAATCGTTCCTATAAAAAATAAATTCGAAATGGAAACCGTAGAACCGGGAGAACTTGTAATCACTCAGTCCGAGTATAGTCCAGAACGACTCATAAAATAGTCACATTTGCAGTGTGAGCTCTTTAAAAAAACAATTATAGTCGAACACCGATTATAGACAGCAGTTGGTGTTAAAATCGCGTCTATACAAAAACGATTATGGGTTACGATTACAGCTGATGAGTCATCGCCGCGGAAACACTTTTTAACCTCCGATTTCTCCGCAGTCGATTTGTTTCCAGCATATTGGAAACATATACCAAACCGCAGGCCTTCATAAAAAACAGATCGTGAACAAGTAACTTACCATCGAGGGTTTCCGCAGTATCTCTTCAGACATTGTTAAGTGCATCTATATAGTGTAATACTGTACAGTACTGCACTGTATTCCTATTCCATGAAATTCACACTATTGAAAAGAAGCTTTACAACCCGTAACTTACTTTAATGGGCAAGAAAACGTGAGTTTCCTCGAGCAGTCGACAGCCGCGCAACTAACATCAAGAGCTGCACAGTACCTACGAATTACAGCATTGATGCACCTATAAATTACTTAACCGCACTCGTATAACTGAGTGCCCCCAAATCACGCAACTGCAAGAGCACCACAGCACTATATGATGGTTAGCCTGCTCAGATAAAAACGAACTTCCAGCTGTATAAATTGCACTTGGGAAATCTGGGTAAAATACAGCATATGCAAATGTCCAGCTGGCACTCGACTGAAATATGTTATACTGAAACAAAGAATACTGCATAAAACATATTCCGATTTTTTCTAATCTGAGAGTATCATTTGGTCGTATAAAATAAAAAAAGTTAGTATTAGAGCGAAGAAAATGGCATTTTATTGCAACAGATAATTAATTCCAGAATGTACGAAGGAACTTCAACACTATAAAGTATTATTGGATTTTTGTTGTATTTATCTATGCTTTTCTTTTAGGTAAAATATGTTGACCTACCTTGTTACGAATTATGTTAGTACGGTAATCTGCTCCCTACTATTTGTCTTTCTACTGATGAGTAGAAAGACAATTCGGCAGAAATCGCATGACCAAAATAGCTGATAATGCACAGTACTTAGACGGATGAACTACGTAGTTCATCAGCAAGACTATCGGAAGATATTGTTCAATAATGAATAATTTAATCATTGAAAAAAAGTTATTGAAGTATAACTCCACCTGTTCTTGACCCATCACCCATGTATGCATCGTAATATCATTACAATGATTTCACGTTGTTCTGTACAGCAGCGACAGCAATTCATTACCGAAATAGGATTCATTCACACCGCGGTAAAGCTGGGCTATGAGAGATGCAAAATTCCATTGAGAAGTGTAAAAAAAGTGGCCCCCTATGCACACAGCATGCATGATGGCACCTTGATGCCCCGAAGAAAAACGAGCGCGCGTGCGCTTTCAAGCCCACTGAATGATAGGAAGCCTCATTTACATCATCATTACGACTTCATAAATATTGTATTCCACTTTGTTACCCACCAGCGCGACTCATAACGATGCAGGTTTTTTTTACGAAGCAAAAGGCTGCACAATAAGATGCCAAATTAAAGGGAAAAGTGTCACAAAATGGCCACCATTCCAACATACATCACCATAATATCACGAAAGGTGATCTCAAGCGCGGGCACTTCTCCGCTCCTCGTGAGTCCTTCCGCGCGCTCCGGCCGGCGGAGGGGGACTGATCTTGTCCTGCATTTGCCGGGTGCATTAATACAGCACGAATGTGCAGTGGACTGCACAACCATGCAGTACTGTATCCATAATACAGTCAAGGGTGCCAGTATGACGCATGATATCAAAATTCTTACAGTACTGCACGAGAAATTTTTTGCAGGGAATTTAGCTAAAAATTTATATCCCTGCACTTGTGTTTTTATTTGAATGAAAATTGAATTTTACTGCCAATCATTTGCAACAAAATTATTGTCGAATTGAATAAACTAATATGAATCATTGTAACAAAGTACTGTACTGTAGTGGTGCCAATGATGTTCACATGTTCACTATTTTGACCGACAGACTCAAGTATGTGTTGCACAGCTGTACCACAGGATTCATGACTTTTATTTGTACCACCACATGCACTCAACTCATTCTGACTTAACTTCTAAGAAAAATACGTGCGCACGGCCCTCACGTTGATATTTTACATAGAAAATGAATATCCTTTATCCGAGGAATATGAAGCATTCAGAAATGAATAAACCATTCCAAATATTTTTGAAAGACTGTTCATAAACAATATTTAAAAGAAGCGTGAACCGATTTCTAAGAAACATTTCACGAAAAAGTGTCAGTAAAAAGGAAATAAGGATGCCACAGAGAATGAAAAATATCAATACTGTATAACAAATTAAATAATGCTTTTGGCAGACAAATTTCGACCAGCAACTTCGATTTTCTCAACCGAAATATCTCACGCAGTCTGATATACTGTACTAAGTTCCAGTCCCGACCCCAAGTAAAAATTCGTTGTAGCCGAAGTCCATTTGGCCAAAAATGTATCATGCGAGGCGTCCAAAATCTGGGGTAACACTGTATCATAACGCAGTTAGAGTCTCGATGGGATGTTTCCCTGAAGAAAATGTATGTTCAAGCACAAGAGAAGCAGGATTGCTGTATATTCGACGATCAGCCTTCTCAGCGAACTTCCAACCCTACCGACACAACACAACTTCAGTGTCTCAAGAGCATAAAACACTCCGGATTCCGTTCGACGACAAGATTTTGAAAGGCCAACGACAACAACAGCGCGTTGCTCATCATCTCCTTGTCGACCGGAGAACTGGCTTCATAATCACTACGACACGACTCTTCGACACTGGACAACTCGGAAAACCAGGGTACGTCGGATTCTTTCTCCATTATAGAGGTCACTAGCTTCTGCCCGGAAACCCGCTCGCCTCCCACTCTTACCCCGAACAGCTTCGACACATGAGCCGGTTTCATTGCGAACACACGTCGATTTTCTCCCTGGAGATTTACGTCACGCGACTCCAACAACGCAACTAATGCTGCTTGTATCCGGGCTAGTTGCAGATGGACTCCGAAGAACGCGGGTTGAATTGCGTTTCCGCCGGAAGCGATGGAATCTTCTATCACATACGCGTCAGAAATGGGGATTTCTTTCACTAGCGGCAGGACCTGAAAACAGAGACGACATGTATCGTAAATGAACTCAAGCCAACATGCAAAACTCTGAAATGTGATCAAAATTCGAAAATTTTCGGATCACGAGAAATGAGAGTACTGTGCGTTGAATTAGATTTCCGCACGAAGTTGAGTAGGAATGTAAAATCCGATGTTAAAACTTTCATCTACAATGTGATCATCTTCCGAGACCTGATCGACAGTTTCTACGCCTATTTACATACATTTTTCAACTGTCCTGACAGGAAATAATTTCGTCATTCCACCGGTACAAATTTGGGCTGCTTTTAAGTTGAAATTGAAAAGTCAAATCGTTGATTCGACTTGCCAGCCCCTTATGATCTTGGGGCATCCTTGAAGAAGGAACTTCAGGATGCGCTTCGATGCACTGATAACTTTCAGGAAATCATAAGAAGTTCATTATACTGAAGCATTCCTGGAGATAGTTACGGAAGTCGCAATGGTTACCGAATTATTTTTTCATGCATCATTAATGACAAGTGCATCGTGTGGTTGGGAAGGGAGAACACGAAATGATGCACAGAATCTTCTCAAAAAGTCTGACCATTTCAACTGCACATTTCCACATAAAATATTCGGCACGAATAGGTGCTTAATCAATTCACCTATAGGTTATATAGGTGCTAATAATATATAAATATATATATAGGTTATATAATTATAGGTGCTTCTCGAGACTATCTGCAAAATTGAAAAGTTACAGAGAAATTCATGAATGCGGAAAATGAACTCACCATATCCATCACATGAACGACATCGTACCGCTTAGTCTCAGTCGGATTCACTGCAACTGATCTCAACTCTATAAGTTGCCGATTTCTCGTCATCCGTGCCCAGCTCAGTTTTCTCGGAGTAACTTGCAATGCTGTGAAGTCTCGCAAATCCTAGACAAATGGGAACATTCAAACAAATAAGATTTGCATCAACTTCGACGATCGATAAGAAGTTAGCCAAATTTGCATGATCCTAAACCTCCCAGCGTGGAAAACTAACTTTTCACCAGGTGTTTTTCATAGTATGAAACAGGCTGAATATTGTACATATTTTTCATCAAACGTAAGAGCTTTTTGTACATACTTCCTGGTTTCAGGAAACCTCGAAATTTCTCAAATTTTACACGAAAAGTTCTCATCTGTCCTTTTCATAACATTTTTTTAAGAATGTATCCGACAAACTCAAAAGAATCCTTTCCACACATTTGGGCTTTGTCCCAGAACAGAAGGGAAAAGTCTCTTCTTAGATCTACATTGTATGATCCTCAGCAGATCACGCGCGCACGGGGAACTGAGCACACTCACATGCATCTGAGGAATAACTTAAGTTCAATCGAAACCTGACCAGTCGTATCTCATTCAATACAGTATCACTACACCAACCTCTAGCAATGAAGGAGACGGCTTCGGGGAACAGTACAGAGAGCCAGTTGAAGGCTTCGCTGAGGTTGCTCGCGTACCAAGCACACTTTCACAGAACTTCTCTAGAATCTTAACACCAAAGCCATCTACTTCGAGAAGTTGTTCAACTTCGTTGAACGGTCCTTTCCTCGTTCTATGACGCAGAATGCCACCGATGCGATTTTTGCTGATGTTGTACTGGGCCAAGCCTTCAGCCTCTGCAGCGTTTATTACTTGAAGTATTTTCCGTTGATCTTCACGGCAGTATGGCGTCTCATACTCGAATATTTTCGAGCTCGTGGAAATCCAATTCCGACTCTAAAGGATTCATTGAGAATATATTCAATAATGTACACGCACGCAGAAAACGGAGAGAAATGAATAAATTGAATACGATGGATGAAATGCAATTCCATACCACAAATTGGAGGCCAGCATCACAGGTTCGAGAACGCAGAAATGTGATTGGATTTCTCAGGTGCATCATTGTTTCTGAGGGTTTTGCAGAGTATCCTCTTCCCACGGGCGAGGACCACGAATATTTTCCCAAGTATCAACGTCGAGCTGCATAAAAGGACGAATGGAACGCATAGTCAAGCGGACGTTCCACAATACAATCGAAATAAAATCCCTTCAACACGTTATGCTCAGCAATTTTCAGCAATAACAGAATACATTTCAATTTTTAAAGTCGTTACACAAAAAAAAACAGACCTTTGGTAAGTACATAATCGTAAACGTAAGGAGCGTGTTATACTCGTTCAAACCCTGTCCCGCATAAGTCGGAGCTCAACATTCCTAGCCAATATTTTCTTCGAGGTTGAGGAAAAATTTTACCTTTTTTATCTTATCGTATTCCGATTCCAATGTGACGTTGTCTTTCACTTGTATGCCAGCAGCAGCTAACTCTTCTTTCGATACGGCCTGCTGCTTGCGAAATTGGTACCTGGAAGTTGTAAGGATCACAATTTAATAACCAGTACAGTATGTACTAACACGAGAGACATCTTCTGACGCAATCTTTCCATCGAAAGGTTTAACTTTTCAACCGTAATGAATCAAACAAATTACCTGATCGAGGTGAACTGCTTCAAACCGAATGAACCACCGACCATTAGCACCAGGAATGGCAATCCATAGCGATAAAATTTTCTAGCGAAAACCGAACTCATACCCCATTGAGGTTGTGTGTGTACACAAGGAATTTTATGGAACAGATCGAATCACCGAAAAGCTCTGCAATGATGAAAAATACATCAGACGCACGAGGACGATTCTGAAGTTTAGCGATCAAAGTTCCGGAGGGGAGCATCACAACATGAACACTGTACGCTCATCATTGACCATAAACATCTCAGTACGTTGCTGAACAAAAAAAGGGTGCACTGTACACAGATTCGAATACCAAAAATTCAATATGATACTAATCAAGTTTTAAATCCTCGTTGCAACATCCACATCTGAACTGATCGCCCGCGACATGCGTTGGGAATCAATTCCTGCAATTGCTCGGCAGCGGCTTGAGCAACTAAAAGCTGCATTGTTCCGTAATCAACATGGGAATTCCAACATGTTGCTCCAAACTGACAACCAGCAGGAGAGAAGTGTCTTTTACAAATCGGCTTCCCTTCGATTTTTTCTAGAATTTCTCGCGCACCTGCAATGAAATCGGTTATCACATGCCTCTCGTACGCAAGACAAAACCTCATAAGACTGCGCCAGGATATTCGGAGCTTATTTACTTAGCAGGTTCGAACACTGAATCCAGATGCCAACGCGATCTTAGCCGAAAATATCCAAGAGACTATCGATTGAAGATAAGAAAATTTTTCCGTAACGCACACTCAAATCCATTGAGAACAACCACAAGAAGCTTTTCAACTACTGTACTCCAAATCTAGCGTTACTTACTGCAAAAACTCCTATAATGCTCCTCGCGGATTCTGCGATGGATTAATCCGTTTCGGTGCTTTTCTCTAGCTTCTTTTCCGTCCGGAAAACTGCAGTCACAGTAATCACAATAATATCGCTTTCTGCCCATTGAATCCTTCAGCACGTGTCAAGACGCATGTAACAATTCTCGAACCAATGACGGCGAATTCAACTTCCAAGCGGTGCAGGTAAGCGTTGTACCGTAGACTCCGGGGCGATTTCGAATGTCGCCGCGGGTTTGAGCGCCATCTCCTTAAGCGCTACTGCCTTGCCAGTCCATCCTCTACCAAGACACACCCTCCTTCAACCAGGGTTATGAGTAACTTCGAAAATTCCCCGTATTTCCGTGCAGTGTGCTTGTTGGAGAATGATGGTGTATGAAGTCTGCTACTCTGCTCAGTGCCCGGGAATTATAATACCCTGCAAGCATGGTATGTATGGCATCATTTTTGTGTGTGGAATGATACTACACTTCGCGCCAACTATGTGTATCAGGTCATGAATGCGTGTAATATTCTCCCACCGGGATTCAGTTAAGCGAAGTATTTTGCCCCTCCATTTCTCCCCCATCAACTGGAACAAGGGGAGAGCCCAGTAAGGGGCTCCCCTTACGTACAACAGCGACACCTAGACGGCCGTACTGGCGTAAGGGCAGGCGTCCACGTGTCTTAGCCAAACCCCCCAGTTCGGTTGCATCATCATTACCTGAACCTGTCATTGAACCTGTTATTGCGCCATCACCTGAACCACTGGCGGAGGAGGCGATGGCGAGACTCTCGGGAGTCACTTCGATCTTAGCTCTTGACTGACAATCGTCTACCTATCTATCTTTTATTGTTATGTGTGACTTGTGAATAATAGACGTCGTGTTCGTGAAAGAAGTCTGTCTTTACTCAAATCCTTATTGGGGGCTCGAGCCTGCAATAGAGATTTTTCACGGAGACGCGACAATTTATGGTCCGCAACACCGAGAACTCCAGACAAGCTGCGGCGTGGGCACGTGAAAGAAGTCTGTCTTTACTCAAATTCTTATTGGGGGCTCGAGCCTGCAATAGAGATTTTTCACGGAGACGCGACAATTTATGGTCCGCAACACCGAGAACTCCAGACAAGCTGCGGCGTGGGCACGTGAAATGGATTCTCAACAGGAAGCTCAACGTCTTGATTCCGCTCCTGAACGACCACCTCCGACCGCGCCGCATCAGCCTGTTCCAGTTCCGCTTCAACCGTTACCGCAGCCGATCCCTGTACCCGTAAGTCCCGGAACCATGATCACGCGCAGCAGCAGCAGGGGTCGTAGCAGATGTTCACAAACCCTTAGTAACGGCGACCTTTGCGACGTCAAGGAGTGTCTGTGGATGGCTAACCCTACAGGCTACTAGCGGTGCTTCCGTCCCATACGGCAGCACCTCACCCGGTTCCAGGTACCGCTGTCAGTTTTGTTCGCATTTCCCCGACAACCTCCGGCCGCTCCGACAACGTCAGTCGTCTCAGTCAGCGACAGCGCACAAGCCACCCAATTACCCGGGTTGCCCACACGCTGGTTTGCCGAACCACAGATTCCGGAGTTACCTAAGCAGCACGCCGATGAAGAGTTCGAGGATTATGCCATGCGCTTGAGGAACCGCCTCGACATCGACAACATCAATGATGGCCATCGTGTCAGGTGTTTAATGGACAATACTCTTCCGCGGATTCAGGGAACTGCTCACCGACTCTACAAACGGGGGATCACCGACTTCGAGTCACTCGTCACGGCCATACGAGTCTTCGTAGGCTGCGGCGTAGACCTAGCCGATCTGTGAAAGGCGGCGTACTTCGGCCTCTCACCGCTCTCAATGGACTCAAAACGACTTGCAGAAGCGCTGGTCATACTCAGCAAAGAAGTCGTTCCTGCTGATCTTCTGGAGGTTGGTGAACCCTTACTTCAACAGACCTTGATGGAACAACTGCTTCGGTCCTCCGACGGCGGCCTACGTGACGAGCTGCAAAAGAAGTGGTTAAAGAATCGCTTCATGAAGTGGGACGACTTCGTGGACATTGCTGAGGCGTATCGACTCAATCATCGTGAGAAGTCCACGGCGAGTAGCGAGAAATCTTCCACATCCGGGAACTCCACGCGATCCGGCTTTCGACATCGGCGGGACCTGCCTCCACGACAATGGTGCGAATTCCATAAGCGCCACATGCGTCACAGTTCCAACGACTGCCGACTGCGACCCAACCAGTCTTCAGCTTCCGCTACGACAACCGACACAGGATCAGCTAAGTCGACTTCGTCCGCTTCCACATCTTCGTCCGATCGCGCTAATGACCAAGCAACGTTTTCATGTTTTATAACATTTTTTGGGCCCGTATACTATGCGCTTACAGGTGTCTAAGTCCCTTTGCTCTTTCGCCGAGTCACTTGCGCCGAGTGACGCGGAGCTGTGGAGAGGAGCGGCGTGGAGGTGGTCACCAAGACCAGGTATCCCTTCATGATCAGGTATTCTCGGGTCTTCTTGATACGGGGGCGTCCCATTCGTTCGTGGCCGAATCCGACCAGGTGAGGGACTGGTAAGCGACATGAGGTAAGCGCTGGAGGCACTCATGTCGGGACCCCGGGCTAGGTCATCGCTAATGGGCGTGACGCGCGTAAAGAAAAGACAAAGTGCCGTATCTCATGACCGGAGATTTTTTGGTTTTACCGAATTTACGCGAATTTGATTTTATTCTCGGACGCGACCTCCTACTGCAATTGCCCGTCGCGATTACCGTCGATGGTCAGCGATTGTTCACGGGGTTCCGCGAGATCACGCGCGCGCCGACCAAGCCCACCTTACCCATAGGGGAAGGCATTGTTTTTGTTGACGGTACTCCTGCCGAACGACAGCGAGTAACCGACATTCTTGTGCTCGTGCGCGGTCGGTAGGCGGTTACCAGGCCCTTTGCACCAGAAAAGTAGCTAGTACAACAAGCGTATGGTTGTCAACTACGCGGCGGCGGGCGGTGTGCAGTTATAGCGGTAAGGCACCTCGCGTTCGCTCCGTTTGCAGCAATCATCGACTTGTACCTTGAAGACGGCATCCTCGAACATGCAGCTTCTCCGTACAACGCGCCGGCCTTCCTTGTCGACAAGAAAGGACCTCCTGACGCTCCGATTGCCAAACGTTTTCGCCTCGTCGAGAATTACAAAGCGCTGAACAAGCTGATTCCCGACGACTATTACCCGATGCCGGTCGTGCAGGAATTGATCGACGCACTTGGACGCAACAATCAGTATTTCTGCGGTTTGGATCTGCACGACGCCTATCATCATTTACCGATTGCCCAAGAAGATCGACCCAAAACTGCATTCATGTCACCACGAGGTCAGGTACAATACAAAGTAATGCCCTTTGGATTAAAGAATGGTCCTGCTATGTTTCAGCGAGCAATTAATACAATTTTACGCCCGCACCTGTTTAAGAAATGTTATCGAATACACCTGCTGCAAAATCAAAAACCCCTTAGTAAACTGTATAACACGGTCTTAAACTGACTACATAATTTTCGAAATGTTCTACGTCCCCGACATTAGCTGGACTTCTTTAGGTCAAAAAAGGCTCGACAAACACTCTTTTTGGGGCACATCGTGGATCAGACTGGCAGTCGACCGGCGGAACGAAACGTCGACGCGGTGCAGAATTACCCAAAACCCTCCACGACGCGGCAGATGCAAAGGTTTCTAGGCATGGCTACATACCTCAGAGCCCATCTCCCTACGAACTTTGCCGAATCGGAGAAAGTCCTTCGTCGGATCATCCCAAAGAAACCTGAAACTCGGCTTCAATGGACGGACGACGCTCATGCTGCCTTTGAACACCTCAAGTCATGTTTGGCCGAGACATCCAAACTCGAGAGGATTGATCCTAACCTTCCCCTGTCGGTACATTGTGATGCTTCGGGTGTCAGCCTTGGGGCTGTTTTAGTACAAACTGATGACGCAGGTAACGATAGAGTGATAGAGTACGCCAGTCGTGTCTTAACCGATACTGAAACTCGATATACCAATACTGAGAGAGAACTTTTAGCAATAGTTTGGAGTGTGACAAAAAAATTTAAACATCATCTCCTCCACAGGCGCTTTGTTGTTAACACTGATCACAAGGCTCTCTTGGGAGACTTGCAAACTGAGCGTGCCGTGAGTCTTTTTACCAAGCTTGCAGGTTTTAATTTAGAACTCGTGTACCGACCAGGACGATTTCTTCAAGGACCCGATGCGCTGAGTCGGATATCCCTCAATACGGCTACCATCAGGGAAACGCCGTCTCTCCAAGAACGAGAGCACATTATCGACACCT